TATATATATATATATATATATATATATATATATATATATATATATATATATATAAACCTTTGAGTTTATCCTAATACTTTTGGTTCTAATTCAGTAGTTTAGGGTTAGTCTTGTCCATATTTGTAACTCCCGTTTTCTCATAGAAACCTGGTTCATATAATCCTAAATATGTTACTTGTTCACATTACTTTCAACCTCCTGATAATGCCAGCTGCAGTGATAGCCCACCTAGCCCCAAATATACCAGATACTCAGCCATCCTTGCTCTGGTCCTGACTACATGGTTCCCTAACAACTAGTCAAATCCTAGCCTAACTGTTGAGAACCTGACAAACTGACTTCCTGGTCCCAGTGATACTAATCCTTACCTCACCACTTAAATACTAGGTCCTGGTCATCTAGTTAACTCTTCAACCCCAAAGAGAAGGGAAGGAAGAGACAAATTAATCATTTTTTTAAAATGAGTGACTTTTATATATGTCTAATGAATTTACTAATAGAAATTTTAAAATGGTTATAAATGTTTTAACATAGATGGACACAAAATTTATAGTATGTTTTGAATTATTGGTCTATCTTAATTCTAATATTTGCAACTAATTTTAAAACAAAGTAATAAAAATTATAGACCAAAGAACAGAGTCAACAAACAAATTGGCATAGATAATTAGTATTTCTTTTTAATTCAGAAAATGGTCAACATCTGAAAATCAGGGCATAAAAAAGTACAATACAGTTCAAAGCTTATTCATAATTATATGAAACATTTAGTACTTGGTTATATGGAAGTATACATATGACTCAATATCCTTCATATGTGAATGGTGCACAAATCACCCAGTACAGTGATCAGATTTATTTAAACTTGTTTTTGAAAGATTAAGTCACAGTATTTAGAGTATGATACAATGAATATGCGATCTAGGCCAGAGGTTAGCCAACCATGACCCCAAAACCAAACCTGGCCTGCCATCTGTTTTCGCAAATAAAATACTGTTGGAACTCAGTCATGCCCTTTCATTTACATGTGGCTTGTGGCTGCTTTTCCATTACAACATCCAAATTGAGTTAGCTAGGACAGAAATCCTGTAGCCTGCAAAGCCTAAAATATTTACCAGCTGTTCCATTAAAAAAAAAAAAAAGCTTGTTGATCCTTGAATTTGAGGAGTAAGTAAGTCAGTGTGAGCTAAACAGTTCACTTGCTAGTCTAAGAAATGTCTTTTTCTGCAGTCAATACCTTCTGAGTTTTGAATAATGTGTCTCAAATAGTATAAGATAGGCCAAAATAGCCTCAATTTCCACATTAGTATGTGCATATTATATTTGCTTCTAGTAATTATTTGTCCTAGTTGTTAAATAGCTAAATGTGTGTGTATATATACACAC